TACACGTTTACAATAAACTGGGGGCCTCTAACCACCCTGGTTATCCGTTTCTGCCCACAACAATTAACTTAACTAAACTTGTCATGCATTCGTTTGGCGCCGCCTCTGCCTCTCCAGTTCCTTTTTTTCGGAAAAAATGGCCTCCACCATCTGCTGAAACAACTCCCTGTGCCTCGTTGATGCAGCAATTGATTGGAGTTGATTCTCCACTGGGACGGCATCTCCGGAAGCTCTTGCGGAACAGGGCCGCACAAAAGGTATGGAACATCCTCAGGACCCACTGGTTTCCTTAGCGGCACAGCAACGTCCGCTCTTTCTGCATCCCAGAATGGACAAACGAATAGCGTGTGTTCGGCGTCATCAAAAACAGCCGGAGAGTTTACGCACCCCGGGTTTGCGGCTTTCTTTCTTCGCCACAAATAGCTCTCGAAGCAACCATGGCCCGTTAGGGCTTGGGCCATGTGGTAGCTGACTTCCCTCTATCCTTGACTCCACCATCTTCTCAAATCCGGGATGAGTGACTTCGTCCACGCAGCTTTGGTGGAGGCATCCCACATCGCCTTCCATTGACCAATCGTGTCATCCTCTTTCTGCTGCGCTGTCAAGACCGCACCTTCATACCTCAGAGCAGTGGCGCGCTTGCGCACAACTGCCTGCAGTGTAACTGGCGGCATCTTTGCAAGAACAAGTGCAGCCATGTCCGAGACCGTCCTGTAACATCTCGCCACTCTGGGGGCAGCGCACCTCTGGCTCTGAAGCATCATGTTCCTGTACTTCGCCACGTGCTGCACCTTGTCTGCCCAGACAGCGGCGCCGTACAGCAGGCGGCTGTGGACCACGCTCATTAGCAGGCTGCGTTTGCACTGGGCTGGACCACCTACGTTGGGCATTAGCCTGCCGAGCGCAGATGTGGCTTTCCTCGCTCCCGTCGTCACCGATTCCACATGTTCACCGAATGAGAGGCGGGTGTTTAACTGAACGCCTAAGTTTCTACCGCCCTTTTAACGGCTACCGGGCACCCATCGACGTGTAGCACTGGATCCCGAAAAAACATACTTCTTTGTGAGAACCACACATTCCGATTTTTCAGGGGCGAGTCGCAATCCATTCTCTGTTATCCACTTGCAAATCATGCTGAGAACAGGGTTCACCAATTGCTAAACCAACTCCGCATTGTGGGCCACTGCCATCACCGCCACATCGTCCGCAAATGCGACGAGTTTGACTCCGTCTGGCACTGGGAGCCTAAGCACGGCGTCGTAAAACAGGTTCCACAATGTTGGACCCAGCACCAAGCCCTGTGGAACGCCACAAGTGACGGGGAGGCAGTCGCTGTCGCCGATTAACACTTCCCTGTTCTCCATGAATGATCTTAGAATCTTTGTTAGGTAATCCGCAGTCACGCAGTGACGTAGTTCCGCGTCGATTAGCCGCCATGGAGCAGTATTAAAAGCGTTCTTAACATCGATCACTAAGACACACACGTCTCTGTTTTGAACTGATCGCTGCCCGCAGCCTTGGCCACGTTCAGGACTTGATGAATAGCGTCCACGGTGGACCTCGACCGCCTAAATCCGAACTGGAGATCCCTCGCACTGCCAACACTGTCTATGTGAGGGATCAACCTCTCTAGCAGCAACCTCTCTAGTACCTTGCCGGAGCCGTCCAGTAGGCTAATTGGACGGTAGCTCGACGGTACATTCCTCGGTTTCCCTTTGTCTTTGTGCAGTAGCACCAGCTTAAAGCATTTCCATGGCGTGGAAAAGGTCCCATCCGAGAGGCAGGCGTTATAGCAGTCTACAAACACATCCGGAAACTTCTTGAATGTTATTTTAATGATCTCAATGGGAATGAGGTCGGGTCCAGGTGCCTTGCCCGTCAGCAGCTTGCTGACAACCCTCGCCACATCGTCGGTGGTAAAAATGGTATACCTAACGACGTGTGGGGGTAGAATGGCATAAGTGGCCGTCGCTCCACCTGATGTAGGTATGCTTTCCCAATCCGTCCGTGGTGATGGAGGGAATAAACCACGAGCCACGCCTACTCTGACTGCTTTGTCCATGGCCGATGATCGGTGGCCTAGCCTCTTGGTGACCAACCTGTTGGGAACTCCCCAGTGGTCACTATCAACTGATCGGCACAGCTCCGACCAGCTTCTCTCTTGTGCCTTGCGGATCTCCGTTTTAAGATCCGTTCGTGCTTTCTTGTAAACTTCGAGTTCAGCCTCCCGAGTTCCCCTCCCCGATCTTCGGCCGGCGCGCTTGTATGCTCTTTTCGCGGCAAGTGCAGTCCGGCGAAGCACGGAGATGTCGTTGCTCCACCAGTGGACCGCTTTCCTTACTTCGAACGCCGACCTGGGCGGCATTCAAGCGTCACACGTGGCGGAGAGTAGAGCCCCAAGTCGCTCTGCGTGCTCCTATGCAAATGCGTCAGTCGATGGTGGTCTTGACGGACCAGACAGTTCAAAGAACAAGTCGGCCGCAGCCGGATTGAATTTTTTGATTGACCAGCCCGGTGCCCTAGCTCTTATAGGCTGGCGCGTGGTTGCTTGTGTTGATCGCGGCGAGACATGATATTCAATGTATGAATGGTCACTTGCGGAGGTGTCCTCGAGTACCGACCATTCAGTGACAAGCTGGCGGCCGCGGGAGGGAAAGCGTTCCAGAGTGATATCAATAACTGAAGCTACGTTAGCTCGGCTTAAGGTATGCCTAGTGCCAATATTGCATACTGTCAGGCCCAGCGACGTAGCGAAGTCCGAGAGCAAAGATCCTCTGGTATCCAACCTGGCTGAGCCCCATTCGGGTAATGAGAATTGAAATCCCCTGCAACAACCAGGTACACTGGTGCTCTTGGCTGATACGAGATCGAAAGTTCCAGGCCACCAAGAAACTAGTCGTATTCTTGGATCGAACAATTTGGAGTGTAATAGCAACTGTACAGCAGTACATCGCCAAGCCACACCCCAGACGAAGCCTACCCCCGCTCCTTGTTTGGTAATGGTCGCGTCCGAAGAGTTTGGTGCAAACACGGAGCTTTTTTTGTCCAGGCTTTCGGCCCAGTAATCGGGTCACCCATCGGCCGGTTGTATTCGGACAAGACTGCAATGCACGAACCGTCTGTCATGCCATCAGGCATCGTCTGTAGGAGTAGCTGCTGGGCCGTCCAACTATTGTTCAAGTTGATTTGAATGACTCCAATCCCCGTCGCCACACTCATTTCCGGGCCGAAACCTCCGCCGCCAGAGACTTGGCAAAAACACTAGCTACAGATGCGGACGCGCTGCAGGCAACTACCTTATGACCAGGCTCTCCGCAGCGTCTGCAACATTCCGTTCTCTCCGGGCCGGAGCACTCCTTCGCTGTGTGACCGGAGCAGAAGCAGCGGAAACATCTTAGCTTCTGGTCAGCAAGCTTTACTCTGCAGCTAACCAGCGCCGACTGTTTTCCTAAGACTGAAGACTCTGAAATGCGATGAAATGCCGATGAAATGCCGGTGGTGACGGCCTGACCTCGACCATGACTCTCCGTTGGAGCGCACGCACCTCCACATCGGGGCCCGCAGATTAGAAGATCTCCGTCTCAAACCGTGCTTGGTCCCCGCGGACCTCGATGAGCAGGCCCCCAGATTTCGCCTGCCTCATGCCAATAACGCTATCGCTAATAACTCCACGGTCAACGCCACTGTGAATCTTCTTGGCTAGCGCTGGAAAATCGTCTGGTTTGACGTCCACTATGATTGCTCATGCTTACTCGTGGCTTAGCATTCGCCATGTTCTCGGCTTCTTTAGCACTATTGACTTGATCTCCTTGCGATGGGGAGTTCTTCTTTTTCACTGTTTTCTTCTTCACTACCTCCGTCCATGTTGGGGTCACGGTGTCCAATGCTTCCGCTGAATCATCCGTCGGCGATGGCCGCTCTTGAATCCGTTTCGTCGGATATTCAGAGTCCCACCAGCGCGGGGACTGGGTCTCCATGTCCTTCATAGACGTAGCGCCAGTCCTCTTTTGTTCCTCTTCCTTTTTGAGTAATCTTTTGATCTCGTTGAACGCTTAGGTTAACCTAACCTAACCTAACTATGTACTCCCAAGTGTCCTCATTTCTGCCACTTGGGTATTTTACCGTCTCCTACCTGATTCCTGTCGTGTTCCTCTTGTAATATGGCGAAAATTATCATTATATACCAATATCAAAACATTAAAGGACTTATTATTTGCCTATAAAAATCTCAATTAATTAATTCTCAATATTCATTCAACATATAAGGTCCTAATATCTGCCTAGAAAAAAAATTGCCTACAAGGTCTTAATATCTGCTTAGAAAAATCAAATAAAAAAATACCTATCAGGTCTTAATATCTGCCTTAGAAAAAAAACTATTACTCTTTATATATTCCCATAGAAATATATATCATTATTCCCCCTAAAAAATGTGTTGTTAGTAGTTTCTATTACACTCCTGTATACCTATAAAATTTAAATATTGTTCCTAAATGAAAATTTACAGGAAATTTCTTAAATATAAATTTTTACGATGGACTTATTAAGTCCAAAGGAGACGTAACAAGCTTACAGTTATAATTACGCACTATTAGAAATACTACAACTTACACAACCTTGAACTCTCCGGCTTCTTGTTCTGCCATTGTCCTGAATGCTGTCCCTCTGCAGTAGTCGGTCGCAACGTAAGTTCAACCCTCGGATTCGTTGGAAAGTCCTGAAAATCCTGAAAGTACTGATCAGTCCTCCAACTGTGGTCCTAGATAGATTGCCTACGTGGAAATCCGTGGAGTCAAAAAAAAATTATTCCGAAAAATTGCCAAAAGTTGAATTTAAAAGTTTCCTCGACTTTGTACTTCCTGATCTCTGGGGTTTAGTGGCTCAGTTACATCATTTTGTGGCATTTGTTTATAATCCTTGTGCTTTTTCCTCTTACAGCTCCACATCTCTTCAACTTGGTACCCTTTTTGTTGCAAATGAATTCTCTGTCTTAAAGTATCGTTATATAAATCATTCATAGTGTTGTTATTGACGGAGTTGATATCGTTACTACTGAAACACTCCGGACAACCGTGCCAGAAACAGACATGATACTGATATACTTTTTTCTCCGTCTCATCGTATCCGTCTACTCTGGCACCACATATGGTAACTTCTCCACCGTTTAACGCGTGTTTTATATTTTTATTTTCGTTCAATATTTTGCTTTTCAGCCACTTTATTGATTCGTCTGAAAAATTGTCTCTTTTAACATTTTGAACGACTACTATAGTACCACTAGACAAGTCGTTATGTCGATAAATGGCCATACAAACACTAGCGATCGTTATATATTTAAAAGGGTCAATATAACACACGTCCAAAAAATGTTTTCTCAGCTCCAAACACCCTCTTCGTAATATGTCAACGTCTAAATTACAATATTCTTCCAACTCCTTTTTAAAATCAAATACGTAATTTTGATTTGTTAATTCGTCGTGCCAATTTATAAATGCTGCTCGGTGTTTCGTCGTCATACAATTATATCCGTAATGCATCTTGTCCGGTAAAGGTCCTACATAACTTTGATTTTCCGGTGTATTAAAAAAATGTGGAAAGTATCTTTTTTTTTGCTTCTGTAAGTCCAAACGTTTTCGGAAATTCAGATAACTTTGACTGAATAAAATTATGACTATCTATGAATTTAATGTTTAAGTTACCATATTTTATTTCGAGCATCATTATTTTTGTCCCGTTACGAATTACTTCGTACTTGATGGTCGCCATATTTTTTAAAATGTACTGTATAATGAAATAAGTGTCGTACGCTTTAGAATTATGTGCTATGTAAGTTGTTCCTTTCATTACTTTGCTCAGTGCCCATTTACAAAATTTACCATTGGCCGAACCA